TGTGATTAAGGGAGGTTGTAAAAGCCAGCCAGTTTGCTGACACTGCAATTTTTGGTTTCCATCTGGATATGAAACTCTTCTTGACTGGTTCCCTGGCAGTTTCATCCCTCCGGGGGAGTGCCAGCTTTTACAGAATGAAGCCCGAGGCCTTGGATCCTCCCCTCAAAACCCATCCTCATTAGGGGAGAGAAGAGAAGAGGGAGCAAAAGTAACTCAGAAGCTCCCCTCATGTCTTCCTTTGGCCTGGTGTGGGCAGTGGGATGACTCCCCTACCCCCTTACAAAGGGCTGCATCCATCCGGCCATCCCTGGTTGTCTTACTAAATACCTTCCCTGGAACTATCAGTATCAGCCCCAAAGACGTTCTCCAAACACTGGCAGGGAGCATCATCCCCAAGTACGAAAGAAGTTGAACTTCCAGCCTCCATTTGCATCACGAGGGATCAGGGTGGCTGTGCATGTGTTTGCCCGACAACTCCTGTGCAGCTTTATGTTTTATGATGCTTCTTTTCCAGGAACATCTACACCGACCATCCCTACCAACACCACTACCACTGCCCCTACAACAGGTAAGGAGGAGGAACCAGTCCGTTTGAACATGAAGAGCAGGGAGCAGGAGCGCGGTGCTTCAGAGAGACGGGGGTGAAGCTGAACAAAAGCGATAGCCACAGAAGTGTCCTGGGCCAGCCCTCATGCATGACCCAGTGACATGGGGAGTAGGATCTGTACTTAGAGTGGGGCTCCCCGCTTGGGGTTCCTGATGTGATTAAGGGAGGTTGTAAAAGCCAGCCAGTTTGCTGACACTGCAATTTTTGGTTTCCATCTGGATATGAAACTCTTCTTGACTGGTTCCCTGGCAGTTTCATCCCTCCGGGGGAGTGCCAGCTTTTACAGAATGAAGCCCGAGGCCTTGGATCCTCCCCTCAAAACCCATCCTCATTAGGGGAGAGAAGAGAAGAGGGAGCAAAAGTAACTCAGAAGCTCCCCTCATGTCTTCCTTTGGCCTGGTGTGGGCAGTGGGATGACTCCCCTACCCCCTTACAAAGGGCTGCATCCATCCGGCCATCCCTGGTTGTCTTACTAAATACCTTCCCTGGAACTATCAGTATCAGCCCCAAAGACGTTCTCCAAACACTGGCAGGGAGCATCATCCCCAAGTACGAAAGAAGTTGAACTTCCAGCCTCCATTTGCATCACGAGGGATCAGGGTGGCTGTGCATGTGTTTGCCCGACAACTCCTGTGCAGCTTTATGTTTTATGATGCTTCTTTTCCAGGAACATCTACACCGACCATCCCTACCAACACCACTACCACTGCCCCTACAACAGGTAAGGAGGAGGAACCAGTCCGTCTGAAGACAAAGAGCAGGGAGCAGGAGCGCGGTGCTCCAGAAAGATGGGTGTGAAGCTGAACAACAGCGATAGGCACAGAAGTGTCCTGGGCCAGCCCTCATGCATGACCTGGTGACATGGGGGGTAGGATCCGTATTTAGAGTGGGGCTCCGTCTCGGGGTTGCTGATGTGATTAAGGGAGGTTGTAAAATCCAGCCAGTTTGCTGACACTGCAATTTTTGGTTTCCACCCGTATATGAAACTCTTCTTGACTAGTTCCCTGGCAGTCTGGGGGAGTGCCGGCTTTTACAGAATGAAGCTCGAAGCCTTGGATCCTCCCCTCAAAACCCATCTTTGTTAGGGGAGAGAAGAGAAAAGGGAGCAAAAGAAACTCAGAAGCTCCCCTCATGTCTTCTTTTGGCCTGGTGTGGGCAGTGGGATGGCTCCTCTACCCCCTTACAAGTGGTTGTGTCCATTCAGCTATTCCCTGGTAGCTTTGATAAATGCGTTCCCCTGGGAACATAAGTATCCACTCCAAGTATGTTTTCCATACTGGGCAGGGAGCCAGCGTTCCCAAGTACTAGAATGGTGGAAGGAAATCCCAGCCTGATTTCCTTGAAGAGGGTCTGAGAGACTGTCTACAGGTGTTTGTCAGATGTCCTCCATTCAACTTCACATGTCATGATGCTTCTTTTACAGAAACATCTACACCGGCCACCCCTGCCACCACCGCTACCACTTCCCCTACAACAGGTAAGGAGGAGGAACCAGTCCGTTTGAACATGAAGAGCAGGGAGCAGGAGCGCGGTGCTCCAGAAAGACGGGGGTGAAGCTGAACAAGAGTGATAGCCACAGAAGTGTCCTGGGCCAGCCCTCATGCATGACCCAGTGACATGGGGAGTAGGATCTGTATTTAGAGTGGGGGTCCTCGCTCGGGGTTGCTGTTGTGATTAAGGGAGGTTGTAAAAGCCAGCCGGTTTGCTGACTGCAATTTTTGGTTTCCACCCGGATATGAAATTCTTCCTGACTGGTTCCCTGGCAGTTTCGTCCCTCCGGGGGAGTGCTGGCTTTTATAGAATGAAGCCCGAGGTCTTGGATCCTCCCCTCAAACCCATCCTCAATAGGGGAGAGAAAAGAAGAGGGGGGAAAAAGCAACTCAGAAGCTCCCTCATTCCTTCCCTTGGCCTTGTGTGGGCAGTGGGGTGGCTCCTCTACCTCCTTGCAAGGGCTTGTGTCCATTCAGCCATCCCGGTTGTCTTACTAAATACCTTCCCTGGAACTATCAGTATCAGCCCCAAAGACGTTCTCCAAACACTGGCAGGGAGCATCATCCCCAAGTACAAAAGAGGTTGAACTTCCAGCCTCCATTTGCATCACGAGGGATCAGGGTGGCTGTGCATGTGTTTGCCCGACAACTCCTGTGCAGCTTTATGATTTATAATGCTTCTTTTCCAGGAACATCTACACCGACCACGTCTGCCAGCACCGCTACCACTGCCCCTACAACAGGTAAGGAGGACGAACCAGTCCGTCTGAAGATGAAGAGCAGGGAGCAGGAGCACGGCGCTCCAAAAAAAATGCTGTGACTGCTGAACAACAGCAATAGCCATAGAAGTGTCCTGGGCCAGCCCTCGTGCATGACCTGGTGACACGGGAAGTAGGATCCCCATTTGGGTTGGGCCTGGTCACAAAGGGTTGCAGATGGGAGTAAGTGAGCTTCTTAAAAATAAGTCAGGTTGTGAGAATGCAGATATGTTGGATCTGCTTGATTTGCCCTGGTAAGGTTCAGAGCAAGTGGCAATGCCAGATGGCTTCTGTGCAGCTTTACATCTTATGCTCTTTCTTGTACTGGAAATACTACTACTGAACTCAACCATACAACCACCACTGCAATTACAGCTTCCACGGGTAAGGGGAGAGAACCAGAAAATGAATGTGGGCAGCAGGAACAAGCTGCCTTTGAGACACAGCTCTGAATGCTAAACGACAGTGTCATGGACCAACCCTCACACAACCTGGTGACGCTAGGGGGTAGGATCCACATTTAGGGTGGGCCTGGTCACAAGGAGTTGCAGACGAGGCTATGAGAAGTTGTGAAACCTAGCCACGTTGCTGAAGGGGCCTTATTTTTGGTACCACCTATCTAAAAAACAGTCTTTATTGTCTGCCTGCCCACCTGCTACCTCACAGGATACAGCAGGCTATTGGTGGTGTTTCCAGGTTCAGACTGAGGCCTCCCTCCCTCTCCTCCAAGGCCCATCCTCTCCAGAGGAGAGGAGAGAAGAGGGAGCAAAAGGAAATCAGAAGTTCAAGATGACTCTACATTTTTTCCTGTTATCATATGTGGGCATGTGACAGCTCCTCTACCTCTTTACAATGAGTTGTGTCCATTCTGCCATCCTCTGATAGCTTTGATAAATACACTCCCCCGCCCCCACAGTGTCCTTGATTTGATATATAAGCCCAGAGTATTTTTTCCAGTCCATTGGGATGGAGATCCACTATCCCCAAAGTCTCAAAAGGTAGATCTTTCCTGCTTGATTTCCCCCAATAAGGATTTCATAGATTTCATAGACATTAGGGCTGGAAGGGACCTCGGAAGATCATCGAGTCCAGCCCCCTGCCCAAAGGGCAGGAAGTCAGCTGGGGTCACAGGATCCCAGCAAGATAAGCATCCAGTTTGCTCTTGAAGGTGTTCAATGTAGGCGCTTGAACCACCTCCGGTGGCAGGCTGTTCCAGACCTTGGGGGCTCAGACAGTAAAGAAAGTCTTCCTTATGTCCAGCCTGAAACAGTCTTGTAGTAGTTTATGACCGTTCAACCTAGTCGTCATCCCTTGGGGATCAGAGCAGCTTTCAGTTCATGTTTGCCAGATGGCTCCTGTACAGCTTTACATTTTGCAATGTTTCTTTTACAGAAACATCTACAATCACCGTTACCTCTGCCCCTCCAACAGGTAAGCAGAAAGAACCAGTCAGCCTGAAGATGAAGAGCAGGGAGCAGAAGTGCAGTGCTCCAGAAAAAAAATGCGGTGACTGCTGAACAATAGTGATACCCATAGAAGTGTCCTGGGCCAGCCCTCATGTGTGACCTGGTGACATTGGGGGTAGGACCCATGTCTAGAGTGGGCCTGGTAACAAAGGGCTACAGACAGGAGTGAGTTTCTTAAAAACGAGCCAGGTTGGGAGGATGCAGATTTGTTGAATCTGCTTGATTTCCCGCAGTAAGGATCAGAGAGAGCAGCAGTGCCAGATGGCTCTTGTGCAGCTTTACATCTTGTGCTTTCTTTTACAGGAAATACCAGTATTACCCCCAACACCATGACACCTACAAATACCACAGGTAAGGGGAGAGATCCAGTCATCTGAAAATGAACAACAGGAAGCAGAAAAACACTGCTCGAGAGAGGCAGCTCTGCTGCTAAACACCAGTGTCATGGGCCCAGTCTCTCACACAACCTGGCAACACTAGAGGGTAGTATCCATATTGAGGTTGTGCCTGGTCCTCAAGGGTTTAAGGTAGATCTTTCCTGTTTGATTTCCCCCAGTAAGGATCAGAGCAGCTTTCAGTGCATGTTTGCCAGATGGCTCCTATGCATTTTTTATTGATTCTTTTACAAGAACTTCTGTACGTACCCCTGCGCCTCCGACAGCTCAGGAGAAAGACGATGAAGATGACGAGCAGGGAGCAGAAGTGTAGTGCTCCAGAATAAATAGTGTGAATGCTAAACAATAGTGATATTGTAACAGGGTGCATGGCTCATGGCTGGAGCCCCGCTGCAGGCAGCAGAAAGAGGATCGCCTGCCTGCCTAGGAGGACTGGGCCAGCCGATGGGGATGATTAGGTGGCCAAAAGGAAGTTAAAAGCTCCCAGGGAAGGGAGCTGAGGGAGAGGAAAGGCTGAGGTGCCGAGGAGGCAGAACAGAGCTGGTATTACTTTCTCAGGGTCTAGGAAATGACTGCAGGGTATAAGTGAACCCTTCACTGTTTATGTGTTTGTTTTGTGAGTGTGCTGTTTCCTGTGTGAGCAAGTTTGACTCAGGGAATATAAAACTGGGCTGTAAACCATGATAACATGGTTATCCTCTACTTCCTTACAAGGCATTGTGTCCATTCAGCCATCATCTGGTAGGTTTGATAAATGCCTTCCCTTGGGAACATCAGTATCAGCTCCATTATTTCCCCCAAACAACTGAGCAGGGAGCCAGTATCACCAGGTACTAGGTACTAGAAAGGAAGAAGGAAATCCCAGCCTGATTTCCCTCAAGAGGGATCAGAGCGATTGTCTGCATGTGTTTGCCAAATGGCTTCTGTGCAATTTTACATTTTATGATGCTTCTTTTACAGGAACACCTGCACCTGTCAGCCCTGACAACACCACTTCCTCCACCCCTCCAGCAGGTAAGGAGAAAGAACCAGTCAGTCTGAAGATGAAGAGCAAGGAGCAGAAGCGCAGTGCTCCAGAAACATAGTGATACCCATAGAAGTGTCTTTGGCCAACTTTCATGCATGACCTAGTGACCTGGGCGGGTAGGATCCATATTTAGGTCCCAAGGGGTTGCAGACCTGGCTAAGAAAGTTTGTAAAAGCTCCCTGAGTGCCTAAGGTATGGGGGTTTTTTGGTACCAATTAAATAGAACTTCCTGCTTGATTCCCTTCAACTAAGATCAGAGCAGATGATAGTGTGTTTCCATCAGACTCCTCCTGTGGGACCTTTACATTTTATAATGCTTTTCTCTTACTGGAACAACCAATTCTAACATCTTTCCATCCCCCATGATATCCACACCTTCTAAAGGTAAGGGGAACATATCAGTCAGCGATAGCCATAGAAGTGTTATGGAGTAATACTCGGGCACAACCTGCTAACACTGGAAGGGTAGCATGTATATTTAAAGTGGGTCTGGACACAGGGATTGCTGACCTGACTTATAAAGTTTTTTAAAAGTGATCCAAGTTGCAAAGGATCCACATTTGTAGTACTTCCTGGATGTAAATCCTTCCTGCTTGGCGGCTGCCATCTGTTCACCGAATGGTGCAAATAATAACCCTGCAGGACGCAGGTGGTGTTTTCTCACCCTCCCAGGAGGACCCTATTCTAATATGAGTGGAGGAGAAGGGTGGAAAGTGCAACAACCTTCAGCCTCCATACAAGTTGAAACAGGAGTTGTAAGGGGGATGATATGGAGGGTGACACCTGGAAGCTCCATGTGCTTGGGGAATTGTGCAACAGCACTACGTACACAGTGCATTTCATGGCTTTAAGCAACAACACTGAATACAGTGGACTTAAAGATCAAAGCTGATGTAGTCCAGTTGGAGTTCCCTTATTATTACACAGAGATTGCACAGAAGAAACTCAGCAGAGCTAGTTGGCATCTGTTTTTTTCCCTTCTCTCCTTTTTAGTGCATGTAGCTCCCCTGCTGTTCCCCCTTGCTTCCACATCCTCCCTTGGTAGCAAGTGAAGACAACCTGTGGAAGATCCTAATGATTCACCTGCTACTGAAGGAGGCACATTTTTTTTACAACTGGGATGTTAAACCCTCTCTGATTAGTTGCCTCCATCCTAGTGCAGGAACAGTAAATTCACACGTGCAAAGGGACTAAATGGTTGTACAGACAGACTTAGTTGTGGCTTGGACCAATTTTTGAGTGATTGATTTTGCTTAAGTTTTCTTAATGCAGGTTATTTCCTCGCCTTGGATGTAATGCACACATTTGCAGTGGGGAGTCAGCATGATGCAGGGTGAATTTCACCCCTGGCCCTGCTGTCCCCAGGAGCCATAGAGAAATATATTATTGTTACCTTAATATTATATGTTAATATGGTCATATTAACATAACAATGGAACAATCATGTCATATCCCCTGACGGCTAGGAAATTAGGTTTATATTTGCTGGATGGTGAATCACAGTGATGTCAAAATGTATTTGCTAGACTATGCTGGTAGGCTTGACACGTTATGATATCATACCTTTTATTTAAAATTGGTCTGAAACCTAGGAGCGCTGTGCTCTATAAAATACAGCTGTGACTAGTAAGCCATAGTGACAGCCACATAACTTTTTTGGGCCAATGCAATAGGTGGTTACGGTGATTGTACAATGTGTTGATTGGTTTATTGTTAAAGTCTTTGTAAGACAACTTAATGATTGTACAGGATGCACCGTTGTGATTGTGTATCCCATACAATCATCCGTAACGATTATACAGGATACATAGTTAGCGTAAAGAAATCACACAAACAGAACATCTTGTCAACATCAGCTGCCTTATGTATCTGGAATATGTTCGTAGTGTAATGTTAGCATCATAGATGGTAAAGTCCCCAGAGGCTTCCTATATACTGCCAACTTTGACATTTCTGCCGAAAGCCAGTGCAGCTCCACCAGTGCTAGCAATGGTGGAAGTACTAAATATAGGTAACTACTCAATGATGGACTGTTTGTGCCCAGAGCTACCGCCTTCATGGTATAAAAATCCTAACGGAGACATACCTGATGAAGTTAAATGTTTTGCACTCTGGCAAGCCATGAGTTATTATTGCCCTTTTTTGCTTTCATAGATTTCATAGATTTCATAGCCACTAGGGCTGGAAGGGACCTCTCGAGATCATTGGGTCCAGCCCCCTGCCCAAGGGGCAGGAAGTCAGTAGAGGTCAGATCACCCCAGCAAGATAAGCATCCAAGCGTTTCTTAAAGGTATCCAGAGTAGGTGTTTGCACCACTTCTGGGGAGGGGGGGTCTGCTTTGAAGAAAACTTTCAAGCAGATTGTCCATCATGAGGAGTCTTTTGGTTTAGAAAATGTGTGCAGTCTTATTGCCTCAGGTTGAGCAGGATCCAGTGTAAATAAAGTTAGCAATATCAAAGTGAGCCCAATAATCTCCTGCCCATGGCAGGGGACCGGACTTAATGATCTTGCAGATCCCTTCCAGTCCTTCGATTCTATGATTTTATCACCATCAGTGGTAATATAGCAATATTTATCAGCTAAAGTTGTGGCCTATTGCCATAGAGATTGGGTAACCCCCTAGATTTTCTTGAGGTGCAGTTTAGTAGCAAGAGAACTGTGTTTCTATCTCCTTGGCTGAGTATGTTTGTAAGTTGTATTAATATCTTTCATCTTAGCACAACCTCCCACCTGTGAAGACAAGCCATGTGGAAACAGTGCTGCTCAGTGTATTACTCTGTATCAAAACTATACCTGCCAGTGCCCGTTTCAGTTCTACTATAACTCATCAGCTTGTGTGGAAGGTGGGTGACATATGGATGATCCATTTGTTTTATTGACTACACAGACAGTGCCATTTCCCCCCCATATCCTAATGCTATAAACTGAAAACAGTTTGGGGAAGAGTCTGTCACTCATATTCTAACAGAGAAATACCTTACTCTGTATAATCACAACTACATTATTATTATTATTATTATTAATATATGCAAATATTAAAAATATTAGAATTATTATTATTAATAATAATAAAATATAATTTAATATAATATAATGAATTAACATTGGAATGGAAGAGTTTAACAGATTATTATTATTATTTATAATATAAAATAATATAATATATAATGAATTAACATTGGAACGGAAGCGTTTAATAGATTATTAATATTAATAGTTTAATAGATTAACATTATTAATATTATTATTAATAGGTTAATTATAATATAATATAATATAATATAATATAATATAATATAATATAATATAATGAAGTAACATTGGAACTGAAGCATTTAACAGATTAGAACAAAGTACAGAGTGGTGAGGATGGGCTTAAATTGGGTGAGAAGCAGGCAGGAATCCAGATGTAAAACTGAAGTTAATATTTATGGCCAAGATGCAAAAAAGCAGATGCCCAAAATATGCTTCTAACTAAATGGTTCAAGTTTCCAAACTATTGACATTCCAACAAGTCCTATGGGAGTGGGATGCATAGTGGGACGCATAGGAGTTGCTGAATATTTTGTTACTTGAGAGTTTTAGAGGGTTGAGAGTGAGACTAATGACCAGTAAGACTATTCTGGTCATGAGCTGAAAGCTTTATTGAGATACGCTATAGCAGTGTCTTACTTACATCAACAAGGACAGCGCTTGCATCGCCTTGGATTCGAAGGAAAACAGGTCTGTTGGCCAGGCGTCGCTGCTCCTTTGGGGACCTTCATTGATGCAGTTCTTTCAGAGTTGAGCTTGGAGAAGTCTGACTTCACACGAATTGACCACAGATTATATGCCCAATACAGGTTTTCTGCATTTGGTTACATTTTTGTGCTGAACCAATTGCCATTTATTTCCTTACATTATAAGGATGCATCAGCATTATTTACAGTATTGCTCACATCACACAATCCTACTTCCATAATTTTACTACACATGTGCTATTATGGCTTCTAGTTAGGCCAAACTAAGCCAGGCTGGAACAAAGTTACGTTGCATGTATGGCCTATACCTTTGAATCTATATTTCAGTGTTCATGGGCCAGATTTTCAAAGGTGTTTCAGGAAATACTAAGTAGCATGTTTTCAAAGTGCCTGATCAGATTAGGTACTGAACTGTCATGATTTTACCTCCAGGGACCTTTGAAAAACATTGCCATCAGACCATATTTAGTCGTCTAAATTTAGGCTCCCATTTCTGAAAATTTCATTGCATGTAGTAACGCCCAGACCTGCTCTGGTTCTGTTTGCTTTGAGCCATCTTCATAGCTGAACATTATCTTAGTGGCAGAAACACCCTGGTTTTTCTGTAGCAACAGGCCCTTCCATAGCCAGTGGGCAGGAGCAGGAATTATTCTTGAGTTAACAAACAAAACTGAGTGGTTAAATAAGAATGCATCCCTTCCCACATTCTCCTATGTAAGGGCATGAGCAAAGATAGATGTTCCCTTCAGAATTCCTTCCTGCCAATGAAGCATGGATAACGCCTTGTTGACATCCTGCTTGTTTCAAATGCTGTGTAGTGAATGAATACGTCTGCTTCCCTTTCAGGAAAAGTATTCCCCGGACAGCTCACAGTGAATATAGAATACAGCAGCGAAATGCAAAATGTGAACTCGCCCAAATACATTGAGGTGTACCAAGCCATCGAAAATTTTGTGAGTCACGTTTTGATCCATGTCATCTAAAGATCTGGTTTTCTGAATGCGAGGCTTGCAGGAAGATTCTTTGCCGCAGTCCGAGTGGAGTCCATGTCTGTTATACATTACACCTCCCTTCACCTTCCCACCTCACCAAAGCCTTTGATAAGACATCAGTTTAGACCCCGCTCCTCTAGAGCCCAATCCTGCCCTCAGCCATGCACGCCTCCACATCGTACTGAAGTCAGCAAAAGTTTCATGCATGCATTGAGATCAGAATGATGATTTTATAAAGGTGCTTCTATTGTGGGAAAGTCACCAAGAACTTAATACAACTGTATTTTCTATATTTTTCTATAGTTTTTTTTTTTTCTAAATCTCCTCTAGAATTGAATTATGAATTAGAATGATGCCTCTGCAAATTCTAGAGGGAGGATCCATTCGATTTGTAGACTAGTTTTAATGAAGAACCATTTGGGCAGATGATGTAGGTGTGGAGAGGAGAGGACCTTTTGGGTTGAGGGCTGGAGGAGGGACAGGAACCCTGGGTGGACACCAGGGAGGGTGGAAAGAGGGAAAGCTGCCAGCTTGGAGAGGGTTAACGCAGGCAACAATAGGAGGAAAAATGTTCATCCCCTCACACTTTCCACCAAAATTCTCCTCTGAATGGGCTGTTAATTGAAAAGTGCTCCATTAACCAGCTCACTTGTATGTGCTGTCTTGCCATGTTGAAGTTCTTGTATTCTGGCAACCTGTACCCTAATGCCTGCAGTACCTGTGCAGTTCTTGTATTCTGGCAACCTTCAAATGCCTGCAGTACCTGTGTGCATTTGAAATCTTTTGACTTGATCCTACTTTGATCACTGAGGACAGCTGCTGCTTAGTGTGGGTTGAAACGTCTCCGCCTCTCTCTAGATCAAAGCGTGTCTTGTTTGTGTTGTGCTAAAGCGGTTTGGCAGAGCTACTGCTACAGACTCTTGTCACCTGCTTACTTAGCAGCGAGGACAATGCTGTTCATACTGTACCCTGGCTCCACCCTTAGTCTGATTCAGCTCCTTGAACATTGGACCCCAAAGATGACACTTTGTATTGTCAGGGAAATGGGTCCATGGTTTTATAAGGGTGGTTGAGGCCTCTCCCACCCTTTTCAAGGGGTTCGGGGAAGATCTGTGTGCAGAGGCGTTCTTCTAAATGTAGGGCATGGGACAGCACTGTTCCTCACTGTGTCTGTAAGAATCTGGCCTTGGCCAAAGCTTCTTGGAAGTCAGTAGGGGTTTTGCCTGGGCATGAAGTGGCAGATATAAGGCCCTTATTTGGCTTTGATAGAGATGACACTGCCTGCATCAACACTCCTCTCTAATTTGAGCTACTTTCTTATCTATGTATAATTCAAACTCACTTTATCTTTTATAGTTCCGAAAAGCTTTCTCTGGCCAAGCAGGCTATGGACAGACAGTAATTGAAACTCTACGGTAAGTTTGGTAACTTGTTTATTATCTGAAATGTGTAGGATCTCTTGTTGTGACTATACCACTTGCAGCTTATACCGTGTGCTCCTGGCTGGCCCAGGCTTAGGGCGCAACCAGTAGTGTAACTAGAGGTGGGAAACCGGCCCCAGGCACTGATTTAGTGGGGGTGCCATTCAGACACTCCCACCCCACTTCTTTTTAAAATCTGCAACTAGGAGGCAAAGTTTGCTAGTAATGCTTCTGCAATCAGCTATTGTTTAACCAACTCAAATTTGGGAGATTAAATTAACCCAGGTAAACAGGGGTTCAGACACATGGACAGTTCTTACCACATTTAGAAAGTGTTGGAAATACACATGTAGCATACACGCACTCCTTGAGCCGAACCATGTAGAAATACTAGAGGTCGAACGTGACTTTGGTGCAGGGCCAGATTCTGTGCTGAAGAACATGTTATTCCACGTGGCCCCTCATTGATAAGAGCCAATAGAAGAGAAGATACAAGTGGAATAAGAGTCTGTTCAGCAG